ACTATATAACTCCACACTTTTCTGCAAAAATCATTTTTCCCAATGGCAGCTGCTATGTGTCAAGCTCTTCCCAGCTTTTATTCAGATTACAACAGTAAATCATTGTTTATTTTTGTTTCCAACGAATTTTACGAAAAATACATAGTAGCCCAAGAATTTTGCGTGTCTACTCATAGTTTTTTCTGTTCCTTGGAAAAATGCAAATTTCATATAATTTTAATTGGAACATCTCTGAGCCAAAATCTTCAGAGATTCGATAAATATCAAAACATAAATCAAAAAATTGATTGTCTTTACATTTTGTACAAGCACAGATTCTTTTCGAGTAGTGTCACATCAAGTGGGGAAGGCTTCAATCAGCTTAGTTGTAGAGTTCAGCAAAATTTACGATGGAAAGGAGCAGAAAAAACACCAAACGTATCAAGGAAACGACTTGTTCGCAAAAAGTTCAAAAAACATTATCTAAGTTCTAATCAAAAACTTGCAACTACGCAAACTCTTGGCTCAGCATTTTTAGACAGATTTCGAAAAATACAAATTTCAAAGTATGAATCTGATTTGTTCAAAATAATTGATGGTTTTATTGATGGTTATGGTTCTGTAAATAGTGAGCGTGTCAATTTTTCTATTAATTTTTGATTATTTCCTCATAAAAATCTAGTCAAGGTTAATTAATTTTCAATTCAACTGTTTTCAACGAACAAATGTATGTTACTTTTTTTTACAAGATGCAAAAAAATCAATCATCTTATAACAAAAGAGCGTATTTTACAGAAAGTTTTTACAAAACGCAAATTTTTTCATATTTTTAAATGTATACATTTGCAAAACCTAACTTCTTTTTTCTTATTGTTTAGAAATTATCAGTTTTGATGACTTGGAGTACTTTTCCGTATCTTAATACACCGTTTTTCTGATGTTTTTGATTTAGATACGTGCAAAAGTAGATTTTTCACAAATTAAACTTAAAACAAAGAAATTCTTAAACATTAATTTTTAGCATTGCAAGAAAAACTTGTTACGGTTTTCTTTAAAATGCGAAAAAATACATTGAAAGTTTTCCTAATTTGCGAGATATTTTTTGATTTTGTAACAAACATGCAAAAAATTTTGATATCAAAATTTATTTTTTTTGATATCAACCAATCAGAATTGAGCATCAATAGTCATGGAATTTTAAACAAATTTGATGTCAACCAATCAGAATTGAGCTTCAATAGTCATGGAATTTTCAACTAATTTTTTGTCAGCCAATCAGAATTGAGCTCTACTTCTCATGAATTTTTCAACAATTTTGATATCGTTTGTAGTTATTGAGGATTTCTTCACAGGCAGTGTTTGTCGTAATAACCAATCAGAATGAAGTTACTTTAAGAATAATCAATCTTTTATCATTTTTAAAGTATTTTGTAGTAACAATCACCGTAAATAATTTTTCCTTATTTAGAGTCTAATTAGTTTTAAGGAAAATCATGTAGCCGGTCAGAACCTCAAATTAAGACAGAAAAAAAATGAAAACAACCAATGAAATTCAAAAAATCGAAAAAAATAATGATAATGTTTTCAACTAAATATATTCTTGTTTGTAATTTTGTTAAATTGAGGCAAAATTTAACTAAATTTTGATGAAAACCGTAATCAAATAAGTTTATCTGTAATTTCATAAGCAAATACTGGAAAATCATTTGATAATTTGATAGTGTTTTATGACAATTTCGATTAATTTGTATGTTTTGTCTGACTTCTCCTCAGATATTATAGCTCTAAATATACACTTTAGTGAGAAAAAATAGTTTTGAACCAATAATATCTCAATTACCAAACATGCAAAACATCACAAAGCTTTACTGAGGTTTACAATTATCAACAAACATAAAGTATCCCAATATATGGGACAGTTCTTTGAATTCATTCAAAGTAAAGTTGACATATGCAACTTGCTTCAAGTCTTCATTTTCTTTTGCAGTGAAGAGTCGAATCTGAATGAAGGGTGGGTTGCTCACGTTGTACTTCTTGATTGTGACACACACCCTCCTCATGTTGTACGTTGCTATTTCATATACTCTATTACAGATGTCGAGCTCCTGATCCATAGTTGAATCTCTGCCAGATTTGGCTTCATATATAGGTACGAGTCCAAGATTTTCAGCATCGTGAATATCAGTATTCCGTATTGCGGATATTGCTTCGCCTTCTATTTCACTAAGATAGACTTGTTGAGACTTTTCAAATTGTCCGAAATCATTTATTTTTAATATTTGAAAGCACGGTTCCAAGCTAATTTTCCCCTTGTAGGATTTTTGGAACCAAACAAATCTCCCAATTTTTTTTTGATTTTTTGAAAATTCAATATAGTTGGGACTATCAGCTTTTCTCGAGTACGTTTTGAAGAACAAACTGATTAGATGAGGAGAGAAATGATTCTGAGATTGAATGAAAATGGAAGTAAGCGGTATGAGTCATCGCGATTTCCATATATGGAAGTAGTACCAAATAAGGAAGGGTTTCTCTACATGGAAACTGCGTAGGTGTTACTACTACTATATAACTCCACAATTTTCTGCAAAAATTATTTTTCCCAATGGCAGCTGCTATGTGTCAAGCTCTTCGCAGCTTTTATTCAAATTACAACAGTAAATCATTGTTTTTTTTTTGTTTCCAACGAATTTTACGAAAAATACATAGTAGCCCAAGAATTTTGCGTGTCTACTCATAATTCTTTCTGTTCCTTGGAAAATTGCAAATTTCATATAATTTTATTTGGAACATCTCTTAGCCAAAATTTTCAGAGATTAAATAAATATCAAAACATAAATTGATTGTCTTTACATTTTGTACAAGCACAGATTCTTTTCGAGTATTGTCACATCAAGTGGGGAAGGCTTCAATCAGCTTAGTTATAGAGTTCAGCAAAATTTACGATGGAAAGGAGCAGAAAAAACACCAAACGTATCAAGGAAACGACTTGTTCGCAAAAAGTTCAAAAAACATTATCTAAGTTCTAATCAAAAACTTGCAACTACGCAAACTCTTGGCTCAGCATTTTTAGACAGATTTCGAAAAGTACAAATTTCAAAGTATGAATCTGATTTGTTCAAAATAATTGATGGTTTTATTGATGGTTATGGTTCTGTAAATAGTGAGCGTATCAATTTTTCTATTAATTTTTGATTATTTCTTCATAAAAATCTAGTCAAGGTTAATTAATTTTCAATTCAACTGTTTTCAACGAACAAATGTATACACTCGTGGAGCAAACAGTGAGAAAATTGATAGAAACAGCTGGACGATTGGTCGCTAATAGGAATGCGCCAGGTTCCGGGGTGACTGCGCCCTATGGAACAATAGATGATACGGACAGAGTACAGCTCTTCCAAGAGACGACGGCCAGAACGGGAGCTAGTAACACAATGTTACCAGCAAAGAGCTCTAAGGTCCCAGACTGGATGATACGGGAGATGCCGATGTTTGTATACATTTGCAAAACCTAACTTCTTTTTTCTTATTGTTTAGAAATTATCAGTTTTGATGACTTCGAGTGCTTGCCGTATCTTAATACACCGTTTTTCTGATGTTTTTGGTTTAGATACGTGCAAAAGTAGATTTTTCACTAATTAAACTTAAAACAAAGAAATTCTTAAACATTAATTTTTAGCATTGCAAGAAAATCTTGTTACGGTTTTCTTTAAAATGCGAAAAAATACATTGAAAATTTTCCTAATTTGCGAGATATTTTTTGATTTTGTAACAAACATGCAAAAAAATTATGAAAATTTTTGCATGTTGCAAAATTTGTAAAGATTTTTTTTTAAATATGCAAAAATTTTTGAGAAAATTTTTTGCACGATGCAATTTTTTTCATGAATTTTCAAAAAATATATGCAAAAACTAAATTTCTTTTTCTTATGCAAATGCGAAAATTGCAAAAATTTATTGTAAAAAACTTGTTAAATTAAATCCAAAATTTTTTTTTAATTGATCACTTTGAGTGCTAATCCCTATCTTAATACATTGTTTTTCCGATATATTTGATCAATCTACATGCAGAAAAGAGATTTCGTTTTGATCAAAACTAAAACAAAGATTTTCATTTACTTTAATTATTAACAGTGCAAGAAATCCCTCTTTCAGTTTTCTTTAAAACGCGAAAAAATACATTGAAAGTTTTCTTAATTTGCGAGATATTTTTTGATTTTGTAACAAACATGCAAAAAATTTAGGAAAATTTTTGCATGTTGCAAAATTTGTAAAGTTTTTTTTAAATATGCAAAATTTTTTGAGAAAATTTTTTGCACGATGCAATTTTTCTCATGAATTTTCAAAAAAAATATGCAAAAACCAAACTTCTTTTTTCTTATGCAAATGCGAAAAATGCAAAGTTTTATTGTAAAAAACTTGTTAAATAAATGCTAAAATTTTTTCTTAATTGATCACTTTGAGTGCTAATCCCTATCTTAATACATTATTTTTCCAATATATTTGATTAATCTACATGCAAAAAAGAGATTTCTTTTTGATCAAAATTAAAACAAAGATTTTCATTTACTTTATTTGTTAACAGTGCAAGAAAACCTTCTTTCAGTTTTCTTTAAAATGCGAAAATATTTAAATAAGTTTTCTTAATTTGCGAGATTTTCTTTGATTTTTTAACAAGTATGCAAAAAAATTATGAAAATTTTTGCATGGTGCAAATATTAATGTAAGTTTTTAACATGCTTGCAAAAATTGGTTTAATTTTTTGCCATCTTTCTAACAAAATTCTATAAAGGTATTTACCAGATGCATAATTAGTTTCATTTTTAACAAAGTTGTACCATTGAAATTTCTTAATAAACTTTCCTATGATCTCTTTTTTCCCATCTCTTGAAAATAAATTTACTAGATGCAAAGAAAATAAATTACAAAGGACAAGACAGTAACCAATTTATTTACAAATCAAAGAATTGTCGAGCAGCTGAAGAATTTTGCAAGTTCTCAATGGAGCGCAAAGCCGGTCTTGCCTCCATCACTGGTGGTTGTCTTGGTGGTTCGCTGACTGGAGTTCTTCGCTCAGAGAACCCATCATCTTCTTCGATCGTAATTGGGTTGTCCACAGGTCCCTCTTCCCAAGGAAAGAAGAAATCATCGAATGGTTGAGCCACATATCTAGAGTCAGGAGTTTCGGGGTATTTCATTCCCACATGCTCGGCCACTTCCTCCATCATTTGCAATTCTCCAAGTTAAATCGCTGTAGGGGGTACTTGCGTTATATGATGTTCGTTGAAATCCCTGCGCATCACCTCCACCATATGCCAGACTTGGATTGGGATGTCCATTCGTGCCAGAAAAACTCCACAAACTGTTTCTCGCACTTGGATTTGTACTGAATCAGCCGAAAATTTCACCAAGAACATAAGGTTGTTGTTTTGTACTGAGAAGATCATTTTGAGCAATAAGTTGAGTTAATGAGTAAAAACAAAATTTACAGTTGAGAGGGAGAAACTTGACGGTGATTAAGTTGAAATTAATGTATTTAGAGCTGAGAAAGGAGGAAGTTGACGGTAATTAAACTGAAAATAAAATGAATTTTAGTTAAGAGAGAGGGTACTTTCAACTGGAATGTGTGGGTTTAACCAATCAGAATGGATTTTCCTTATTTGGATTGTAGTCGTATCCAATCAGATTTTAGTTTCATTTTATGGAATTCTTATAGAAAACTCGTGTCCAATTGGAAACAAAGCTCCATTTTACACATTGTCGTTTCCAATCACAAAAATGTTCATTTCTGTTCAAGTTGTCGTATCCAATCAGACAATGATTTACCTTTTAAGGACTTTAGTTTTCCAAATAAGTAAAAATATACACAAAAGCAATTGCAAAAATAAATGATCAAAAGTTGTTTGAAGTAAAAATCAAGAAATATTGCCAATTTAAGTAACAAAAGAAGGAAAATAAAAAAAAGTAGCATCTCTGCATGTCTTCTCATCAAGTTAATTGAATTTTTTGTATATAATTGATGAGAAATTGCTGATTTTTGAGTGGATAGTCAAGTTCTTTGCTTTTGATGTAGATTTGAGACGATAATTCAAAATTGATGAGTTTTCAAAGCAAATCTCTGGAAATCTGATTCCAAACCTGATCATGCAAGATTTAAAACTTTGAAAATCTTTTAAAAAAATGGAGGAATAAAGAACTTTGCTGGGGAGTTTTGACAAAATTGGGAGTTGGGTAAGGAATAAAAAGAGTCTTTGAAATATTATCGTACGATTTTTTGATTAACTTCAAGTTTCCTAAAATAAATAAAAATTCGTTTCTTGTCAGGTGTAACTCAGCAGTAAGTTTATAATTTTGATACGCAATATGTGGATCAAAAATAAACTCTTTGATTGAGTAAGTTTCCCTAAAGAGACCTTTACTTAGTCGGAGAACTCTGTTTTGGACAACATAAACATCCAAAAAATTATGAAAAAAGTAAGAATCTACGTCTATCTCATCAATAAGGAAATCACACGGAATATTTTCTTTTTTCTTGTAGAGTAATTCGAGGAAGTTCAAATGCTTTTTATTTGACATTCTTCAAAACTAAATATATCGGATCCAAAGTTATGTCAAGAAACTGCTTAGTTCTGATTGGTTTTAAAATTTTTCTGGAAAACTGTAGAAATTTCGAAGGAATGACTTAGGCGATGACGTAGGCGATGACGTCATTACCATAAAAGGAATGTTGCGTGGGTGGTTACGTCACTTCTATTTAGAGAATGACGTCCTTACCATAAAACGATAATTGCGTAGGCGTCATTGATAGTATAAATACACTTATTTTATTGGGTTAAATCATTCATTTGGTTTGCCAATCAGAAACAGTCAATTAAATTTTACTTCAAATTTTACCTTTCGTTACTTCACAAAAAGAAAAAAGTAAGTATTTTCATTCAATTGGTAATTTAAGTTTTTAAATTTGGAACATTTCAAAAGTCCAAATTAATTTTAGATAATGCCTGCCTTTAACCGAAACGAGAAACTAAAGTGTGGAGACTGTGGAAATATGTATGCTCGTCAAAACACAGCTCGACATTGAAAGAGATGTGCTAAAGGAGTTATTTCTTGTCCGGATTGTAAGTATTCCACTTACAATCAGCAAGAAATGAACTATCATATGGCCAAGAAGCATGCTCAGCCAAGTTTGAAGCAGTCGACGGTTTATCCTTCTTGTGAACAAGAGTTCCCAACTTAATACTCTCTCCAACAACATCAGAGAAAAGAACATGGATCAAAACAACGGAAACCCACTGATACGGTGGCCGACTTGAACAAGATTGTGGAGGAAGAAGGGAAGAAGGGTAAGATGGTGAAAAACTAAAGGAGGAGCTTAGTGCTTGTCAACATTTTCTGGTGAATACGGAGATGGAAAATGGAAGACATAAGGTATTTAACTTTCAAATTTCTAACTTAGACACTAAAATAATCAATGAGAAACTTGAAGAAGTCTTCAACAAGCTCGATTCTTTGCGTGGAGTTTCTGTAGAAGACTTACCTGTTGTCGAGGAAATTGTGCAAAGAAACATTGTTATGTCCAATTTCGATATCCAAGAAGGAGAATATGTAGGAGAACTTGCTCGGCGAAGTATCGGAAGATTCGACAAAACAGTCAAATTACGGAGGTTTAACAATCATAACATTCATACAAATGATATTGATCTTTCTTCAAGTGTTTCCGGTGTCCTAGTTATGACACTTTTTTTTTTAAAATCCGACAATTTTAACAAACTTCTTCTGAGATGCAAGGACCGAGTGAAATATATTTACCCAAAGAACGTCTATGAACTTCGCAAAACCTTGTTTGAAAAGCTAGAAGGATTCAGTCTTCCAGTTTCTGAAGACAACAAGCTTTTTTTAATAATCTAGCAGTTTTCGACTTTGAATCGATTTGTGTTCCTACAGAGGAACTAAAAGAGACGCAAACTACTACCTGGATTGGAAACCATGTCCCCATTTCAGTCTCTATATCATCAAATCTTATTGATGAACCCATCTTTTTGTACAACAAGGATCCACAGAACTTGATTTTTGATTTTGTAAGCAAACTCGAGCTGTTGGCTGAGAAAATTAGGCTGGAGATGAGAACAAAATTTCAAGATATTGAAGTAGTTGTCAGTGAAAAAATAAAAAAGATGTTTGATCAGCTAAACGAACGTGGTAGATATTTTTCAAGTAACAAATTCGAGTACAAAGACGAATGCATTGAAGATTCGGAAGAAGCAGATATGTCAAAACAATTCTTGCGAATTCAGAAAAATCAACTCATTGATTTGAAACAACATCTGGAGAGATATGTAAATACTTTACCTGTTTTTGGATTTAACAGCGGTAGATATGATTTAAATTTGATCAATTCCTACCTAATCCCCTATTTGATTCGCGATAAAGAACAAGAAACATCCGTCATCAAAAAAGCAAATGACTTTATATCTTTCAAGTTTGGAGATGTACGATTTCTCGACATAATGAAGTTTCTGGGAGGGGCAACTACTCTGGACTCTCAAAGCCTATAAAGCTAGCGAAACCAAAGAACTCTTTCCCTATGAGTGGTTTGATAAACCAGAGAAACTTGACTTTCCTGAATTGCCAACTTATGAAGCCTTTTTCAGTAAACTTAGAAACAACAATCCTCTAGACAAAGACTTCATTGATTATGAGACGCTTAGAAAAAGTGGGTTTGACGAACAACAGGCACTGAAAAAGCTTCAAATCAAAACGGTTCCTCCATCTGGCTTGTATAATTACAATTACTTACAAGAGACTTGGAAGAAAAATGGAATGACAGTGTTCAAAGACTTTTTGAAGTGGTACAACAACAAAGATGTAGTTCTAACCCTTGAGGCAATGATGCAAAAAATGATTCAGTTTTATCATAACAAGGGGATAGATATGTTAAAACTTGGATGCACACTTCCAAATCTAGCAAACATATGTCTACACAAATCTACAAATTACAAGTTTAATCCATTTTGCGAAAGTGATAAAGATTTGTGTGAAAAAAATAGAGAGGACATGACTGGTGGACCTTCCATTGTTTTCACTCGAGAAGCTGTAGTTGATGAAACATACAGCAGAAATTCATCAAATGTTTGTAAATCAATCGTTGGAATTGATGCAAGCCAGCTTTACCTTTTCTCAATGTGTCAAGATATGCCAACAGGACTGTACACGAGATGGGAGTTTGACACTAAAATGCAGAAATTCAAGGCTAGACATAATCGAACTCGCAACTTTGAGAATATGGTCATGTCTTTCTATCAAGAATCAAGACCAGAATGTAAAATTGAGAGCTTTTTTACATCTGGAAAGCATAAAAAAATCGACTGTTTTAATGTTGATGGTTACTGCGATCACTGTAAAACAGTATTCGAAGCAATGGGATGTTACTACCAATTCTGTTCCTGTCAAGATGCTCGTCCCTACTTTACAGAACAGGATATTGAGCAAGGGAACAAGAAGAGAGAGATGGATGATATGCGACGAGAATACATTAAAGAGAAGGGATACAAAGTGGAAGAATTATGGGAGTGTGACTGGTGGGAAAGTTTCAAAACCAATAACAAGATCAAAAATCACGTCAGAACCCATTTTCCCTATACAAGACCTCTTTCAACAGACTCCCTTCTAGCAAAAATAAATAATGGATCTCTTTTTGGCTACGTTCAGTGCGACTTAATTGTTCCAGATGAGCTAAAATCAAAATTTGCCAATTTTCCTCCAATTTTCAAAAACACTGAGGTTGGAAGAAACGATATTGGAGACTACAAAAAAAACTATGCAATCGAGAACGACATGTTGAAGCATCCTCAGAGAATGCTGATATCTTGTTTCAAGCTAGAAAATGGAACAGTTATAACTCCTCTGTACAACTTTTATATGGAACTTGGATTGCAGTGCACCAAAATTTACCGTTTTGTTCAATATTCTCCTCGGAAATGTTTTAATATTTTCGTTCAGTCAATGGATGATTCTAGAAGAGAAGGAGATGAAAACCCTTTGTCAGGAGTTGTAGCAGAAACAATGAAACTTTTGCGTAATTCTTTGTATGGATATCAGATCATGGATAGATCGAGATTACAATCACAAAATATCTGAACGATAAAAAAAAACCCATAAGGCAATCAATGAACCACTGTGTAAGAAACTTAACACAGTTGAGAAGGACTTATATGAGGTGGAGTTA